CATTCTCGGAATTTTACAGTTGACAAACGAGTCACAGTGGTCAAGGGTTCGATTCCTTCCAATGCAGTCAAACAAAAAAAGCGCACTAATGGTCGACAAGCAATAGGCGTGTCTCGTTCATAGACGAAAGCAAATTCTGATAGGAGAGCAAACATAAACATAAATGAGTTCAACTGTTTAACAGTTTGGCATACAAATTCCAACAGGATCGCAAATGCAGAGTGTGCTTATGTTGATAGACAATACATACACAGATACAAGCCAATACTACTCACTTTCCCTCTGCTACAAACTTAGTAATCCGTTGTCACAAGCCTTATGTTGCTCCGTTGCCGAAAGCCAATCCCAAATAATTAGTCTCTCTGATCCCCATCTAACTCTGCAGATTCATTACTAACTAGGGATTAAAGTAAACAAGGCAATTTAACAAACAAAAGCAGAAAATCTACGTCCGAAAATAAACAGCACAAGGTGGAAATGAAATTTTGCCAAGATGAAACTGCAGTTTTCTATTTCATAATATTATCTGGCTTACCTCTGGAAGGGGTTCTTCAACTTTAAGTTTCTCAGCTGAGAATTCAATAAAAAACAGTAATCACGAATTAAGTGCATAAACTCTTGATTAATTTCCATTAATTATACAAGCAACAACAACAAAAGATTGGTAAATCGGAGAACATAATCAGATGGAAAGTATTTCTTGAAGAAAGCAAGTGTATTCACTTTCTTTTTGTTTACGTAAAAGCAACACAGAATGGTCTAAGAATTTAAATTTCACCACAAGGAAAAGAATTTAGACGAACTAAACTCTGTGATAACGAAAGAATACGCTAACATAAGAGTGAGAAAAGAACATAATGAATTTAAGAAGATTTTACCCTGTAACACGACGAATCCAATTAAGACGGATTATCAGGACTTGTAGAAATCATACTAAGACATGGCTTGAAGATAATATAGAAAATTGACACAAGATTCAAACAATGCAGAAAGAAACCGACTTGTAAAATTACCTCCCTCTGGCAGATCTGAGGTCCACAATGTGAGATTATCCTTGAGAAGCTGCATAATGAGGGTGCTGTCCTTGCTAGATTCTTGGTCGATGCTGTCAAGTTCGGCAAAAGCCTCATCAAATGCCTTCTTAGCTAGATGACAGGCCCTGCACGGTGCAATGTTGCACATGGAACATAAAAGTGGTGACTCAATGTTGTAAAAGTAAACGCTGTGTAAAAATAATTCGAAGGAGGCAGGCAAGTGGGGCAGAAAGAGGAAGATTAGGGAAACCTCTCCGGGGAGTTGAGAATTTCATAGTAAAAAACAGAGAAGTTTAGAGCCAGGCCGAGCCTGGTTGGATGTGTTGGGGGCAACTCAGAGGCAGCAGTATCAACGGCAGTCTGCAGCACAAATGTAAATTGCGTTATGATATAGTTATTGGCACGTGAATATAACATGACAATGAAAAGAAATTGTAAACATGATAGGGAAGAAGACATCCAGCAAAGAAGCGGAATCAAAGTTTACCAAATAGGCTTTAAGCGAGTGATCAGCAGCTTCTTTGCGATCATCACCAGATTTGAATTCTGCTAGATATCGATAGTAATCTCCTTTCCTGTCACACAGAACAACAAGGGTCACAAATCAAATCTCTCTCTCTCTCTCTCTCTCTCACCCACACATGCCGTATTGTTGCCAAAGAAAACCGCAACATTACTTTGCATTGTGTTAGTCTGTCAAAAGGAATAGGCGTCGAAGCGAAGATCCTCCGAACATAATGCACGCGAAAAGTAACCAAAGGTAAGAAATTCATAACGAAATAGTTGTTCTCACATCTTCTGGTAAAAAACAGTAGATTCCCCAGTGGACGAAGAGGGGAGAAGGTGATAATCAACAACTGTTAGTATGTCATGGCAAATTTTCGCAAGCTCGTCTTCAACCCTCTGCCTGTACTCCTTTATCCTCTTCACATTTTGTTCAGCACCCTTGGCCTCTTCCTTTTGTTCAATGGAAGACAGTATCCGCCATGACGCCCTTCTTGCCCCGATCACGCTCTTATACCCAACTGACAACAAATTTCGCTCCTCCACGCTCAATTCCACATCCAACTTGGCAACTTTCTTCATTTCTTCAATCATCTCTGAAACAAAGAAAATGAAATATAATTAATTTGTATTATGCAAGTGTAGAAATGACCCAAAAACAGAAAATTATTTGCACCACTGCCACCACAGATGACCAAAACTCAAATCAGCAACGTTCCTGAAAATTTGTTGCAAAAATGATAAGACCAATACCCAAATAAATGGTACCGAATTGAGTCTCAGAATGAACAGGTGATCGAGGACGGGGTACGACATGTATCGCAATCAAAGAATGTTTAACATAACCAGTTTTGCTCGTAAACAACTGGAAATTTTATTTCTGCTTACGAACACCTATGATATATGTAATCACTCTTCCATTTCCTCTCTTTTCCGGATCGAAAAACTAAACCAGGCTGAGCTATCAAGGATCAAGCCGGAAACTTGACATAATCATTGTTATAGGATCAAACACGCAGTAATTAACTTGGTCTAGTTATGATGCAAACTTAGATGCTCCTTGTGTAAAACTCATAACTTGGTCTAGTATTCCAAAAGCCATGAGAATATAACAAACGCTTCACGCCACCACAATTCACAAAAGTAAGAAGGGTCCATGCAAGAAGAACATACCGTCGTATCTTTCGGCTTGCTCGGCAAGTTTCGCCTGGTAAGCATGCTTCTCTCTCTCTATCTCCATAGCCTTTCTCTCTGAAACTCTGGTTTTGGCAACTTTGAAATATTCTGCAACTAAATAATATGATCTACTTATATATATCTCGTCACAACCCTCCGTCTATCTCTTTCATCACGTGACGATTCAAATAGTTCGACCGAGAGACCGTTGGATATGGTTAGTGGACAGGTACTAGGATCAATGGTCTGAAATGGTTGTGGATTTTCCTCAGAGGGCGAGATAAGGGCCGGTGATGGAATTAGATTCGAACGTGGATCACATGGAGCAACGTGGTTGGGTGCGCTATTGAACGGGGCGACCACTGATGGGTGTTTGATGTTGGAAAGGGTGAGAGTGGTGAGTGGTGCACTGCAAGTGGGCTCTATTTTGTATATATGCGTACATGTTATGTCAACTCCTTTTCATTACAGTTTTCACCAATAGAGATCTTTACTAAGAAATGACTTATCTATACCTTTGTTATATTATAAGGTTTGCTTGAAAACGCTTTTAAAAGAACTGAAAACGCTTTTATGGAGTCTAATAGAGTCATTGGTCAATAATTTCTTTTGGTAAAAGTAAAATCTTTATTGAAATCATTGAAATGCTAGCCACAAATTCAATTCTTGCTCTAATTTTTCGTCCTTCATTTCCCTTTCTTGTTCATCTTCCTCAATTACTTCATCCCCTATTTCCCCCTCAACGTCTTCCTCCTCCAACAAGTCTTCCTGAATTATTTCATTACCCCCATTCATATTTGAGACTTTATATGTACAGAATCACCTAAGAAAAATACATGAATATAATATTAAAAGGTTAACAATCTGCATATCTTAAGGTATTTGTAAGTGAGAGATTTTCGGTTCAATTTTTGTCAAAGGTGAATTTGAACCACATTATTGCTAGTTCATTATGAGGTTTAGCCCACTCCCCTACTCTCTTAGTATAAATAATATCGTTTATAAAAAAAAAATATTAGAATATCAATCCATAAAATAAAAGTTTGTAACTTGAAATTGAATATAGCATATGAAAATAGAATATTTATGAGAGATGAAATGAAATCAAGGTTCTAAAAAACGCTAGGCGCTAGTAGGGCGGCCAGTTGGGACCTAGTGCCTAGGTGGGACTTAGGCGGGCGCCTAGGCGGACTAGGCAGATTTAAGTAAATTTATTATATTTCATGTAAATAAATGTCTGTTTATACTTAATATATAAACTACAAAATAGAATAACATATACATTATAAAGTACTGGAACATAATGAAAATATGGGATACAAACATATAATGTGTGTTCATTTAAGTATTCAACAAGTCTCTTACAATTTATTGAAAAGAAATAATATGCAAAATGAAATTTATCTATTTTCTGTCTATGTGAGTTGCAACCTAGGTGGGTATGGGCGGGCTAGGCTGTCTAGGCGGGTGCTTCAGTAGGTCTAGGTGCCCTTTCTTAATTTTCAAACGCCTAGACATTAATCGGAGAGTTGGCGAGCCACCTAGCCCCTAGGCAGGGCCTAGGCGGCTCTAGGCGAAGATTTTTAAAACAGTGAATGAAATCATTGAAGCTGAAAGAAAAAAAACCCGGCCCTCCAACCCAGGGCTAACAGAACCCGCTAAAAGGAACATTTCACATTCCAAACCTTAAGCCATCTCCAACCGAAGGGTCCAAAGGGCCAGAGAGTCGAAAATAGCCTGAAAACCGTCTCCAACCGAGGGTTAGGCCAGATGGCTCGTGGAATCTGAGAAAGCCACACGGAATCTGAAAAGGCCAAAGGGCTGGTCAGAAAAAATGGAAATCCTTTCGGTTATAACCGACAGGAATGCTTTGAATTTTTTTTTTTTTTACAGTTTTATTGTTATTTTTTATTTACAAAATTTTCCCTATAACTTCTATTTCACAAAATTTATTTCATATTTTTTTTTAATTCTATTTTTTTCCTATAACTTCTTAAACCATTATACAACATTAAAATTAAATTAAGTAACATAAAACAACATTAAACAATATGAAACAATATTAAATAATATTAACCAACATAAAAATTATACTACATAAAAAAACATTTAACAACATGAAACTTAAACAACATTTAAGTTGTAGTTTTTAAATAATAAATTATATTTGGCCTTATGACCTTTAGTTGGAAACGATTTTTTGTTATAGGGCTAAAACGAGCCTTCTGACCTTTGACCCTCGGTTGAAGACAAAGACAACTATGACCCTCTCTACTGTTCATTGAAATATTAATATCTTGAATAAACAAAATCGCTCAAGAAAAAGGGGATTAGGGTTTCAGATTGAAGGCAAAATCCCCAAATTCACTCCATCATGTCGCAGCCAGTTGTAGATCTCTCTCAATTCGACATCTCCAAAGAGGTAAGAACGAACTCGCACACTTTCAATTCCAGTCTTCGTCTCGGATTCCCCAAATTTCAGAAGAAAGATTTTTCGTTTTGGGTATTTATTTTTCTCAGGAAAAGGACAAGCTTGTAGCGGAAGTAATCCGATACGTGCTGTTCAAGACGCACCACAGCTCGGGGTGTCCGATAAAGAGGGAAGAGCTCACCCAGCTGCTCACCAAGAACTACCGCCAGCGCAATCTTCCTACTTTCATCATCAACGAGGCCATACAGAAGTTGTCCTCCATTTTCGGGTACGAAATGCGGGAGCTTCAGAGGTCTCGTCCTTCTTCCGCTAATCAGGGACGCATTTCGCAACAGAGTAAGATTCTTTACTTTCGAAATTTCGATGGTTAAGTTGCTAATTAAGCTCAAGGTTCAAAATTTATTTGAATTGTAATTCTGTTGTGATTTGTTCTGGTCCGAGTATGGTAGGATCCATATGATACCCATGTGAGCCAGTATTGGCCAAACCATATATAATGGAATTTGAGGTTTCCTAAGTTGCAGGAAATGTGGGTTTCTCAATTGTAGGTTATATGTTCCCTTTTGATACAAGTTCAATTGTAATTTTACGATGTGCCCATCATTCCTTAGTAATTTCGAGGATTCGGGTTTTGACAGTAGTTTATGAACACATTATTCAGGTGCTGCGGAGGCAAAATCCTATATCATCACGAGTAAGCTTCCTTCTGATGTGTATAAGAAGTATGTCTTGAACGACAATGATAGTACGGTTCCTCTCAATGGTTTCACTTTTGTCGTACTGAGTCTTGTACATATTTCCGGCGGTAAAATGACCGAAGGTATGGCTGCCTTTTGGTTTTATTTTATAGTTTTATGTTTACAAGCTAATCATTTGCGAAAGGAAAGATGCCAGGATAGCTGGCAGAACAATTTAGTTGGAAAATTGCTTATATATAAGCCAAATTCTTTTTTTTTTTTTTTTTTTTTTGGTAAACTATAAGCCAAATTCTTTGATGAATGTACTTTTATACATATTCGGTGATCTGCTTGCTTAATGGGCTCTTCCACATCTGGTATAATGAGATTGTGTAGCAAAGTGCTTGGATCAGACATCACCACATAGTCTTTAAAATGCTAAAAACCAATGTGGGCAATTATTTATTTTCTGTTACCTTGTGTTGTGTTGTGAGACAACCAACTTTTGCCGTCCTGGTGAAACTGCAGAGGATTTTTGGCGTAATTTGAGACGAATGGGATTGGACGAAAGCAATGAAAACCATCCAGTCCTGGGAAACATAAAGCAAGCACTGGACACACTTGTCCAGCAAAGGTTTGGCTTGTTAAGGATTGTTTATTCGCAATGAGATAAGGCTTTGTTGTTGTTGTTTGTGTCTATGGGTATCTATCTCAAGTATTGTTATTCATTTTAGATATTTGCAGAAAGACAAAGTAAGTGGACCTGAAGGCAATACTTTGTTTTATGAGCTTGCGGAGAGAGCTTTAGATGCACCAATTAGTGAGAGCACTAAAGCACACATATCAGAGGTATGATTTAGAGATCAGTTACGTAATGACTCTGAATATTATTCATGATTAAGTATCTTGTGCAGCTAAGAGTAAGTTCTGTTTGGAGTGTATATATATCTCCCTTCAACAGAGAAAAAGTATATTTGGAAACTTACTCATGTCAACTTGCACGGTTTTCAAATTGGTGAACATGTTTGTCCTCTATTTTGGGAATTCATAGAGTTGTTAGAGGTTCAAGTTTTTGTGTCTCCACTCATTTAATTCAAAGTATAAACTGTACACAGACACAAAAGTTGAAAGTTTGTGCAAGGTAGAGCTGTAGACAGAGTAACACAATGAACAGTGTAGAGAGTTCATGAAGATTGCAAAGAAACAAAACGTTAAGTTTGCATTTAAGGAAGGTTAAGAAAGTACACATTGGTTCTCTATCCTAGAATAAAGATCGGTCTAACTAGAGTTGACAGCACAGAGAGTGACTGACCCCGTCATATGGATGAGGAGAGGTCCTGTAGTTTAGAAGGGAGAGGAAGTTGAGGAGTCTAAGAATAGGAATAAATTATACAAGCAGTTTCTATATAGAAAATGAGGAAATACTATGTTTTTGAGAATAAAGAACTAGAAGAAAATATAAGGGACCGTTTGGTATCCTACCCAAAAACTTTGATTGTTCCTAAAAATAATTTTCAAATAACATCACGAAAAACAGTTTTCTTTTAAATCTCAAAATTTCAAAAATCTGTTTGGTTGAGTTTTTAAAAATAATTTTTTTAGTTTGAATTCAAACTACATTGGAGGAGAGAAAGACAGGGAGAGGGCGAGGAGGTGAGGGAGAGAGCAAAAATTTACGGTGAGAAAGTGAGGAGTGAGAAGTAAGAGAGGGTGATGAGACAAAGGCAGAGGAGAGAGAGAGAGAAGACAGGGTGTGACATGGGGAGAGAGGAAAGAGAAGGTTAGGAGAGAAGAAAGAGAGGGTTAGGAGAGAAGAAAGAGAGGGTTAGGAGAGAGCAAAAAAAAGATGTTGAGGAGAAAGCAGAAAAAACTCTAAAAACTCACTTTTAGTGTTTTTAAGAAATAGCCTATGTTTTTAAGTTAGTTTTGAATTCAATTTTTAAAAAGAGTCCTACCAAACAAGAGTTCAAGGCCTAAAACTCAAAAAGTAAGTTGAACTCAAGTAGGATACCAAACAAGCCCTAAGGAACTGTAAGAGGTTGCAAGAATATGGTAGAAACTACGAGCGTCAAACTAGTAGGAGATTATAATTACTCCGAAAACCCTAGAGACTAGTATGCATATGCAGATGAAACATTCTCTAAATTCATCCATATCGCAAAAGAAAATAGTAAAAGTATAGAAGACGATAAAAGGTAGAAGATATTAAAGACCATTTGAAAGGACATTTTTTCCGAGGGTGCTGCCACTTATTTACAACACTCTTATATTGCTCTGGGAATTAGCTCGGGAGAAAGTCTTGTTCGGCTGTTTTGTCGCTTTGTTGCAGAAAAAAAAATTCATAGTTGTGTGATTTGTACTAAAAGCTCAGAGCTTTCCCTGTCTATATCTAATTATCTATGTCCAGTGAAATTCATTTGCTTAGTTTCTGCAAACCTGAAGTCTTGGTTATGCTATGCTAAGTATCTGTATGCATCCATTGTTGCAGATTGTGAACAAAGAGGTTGTCTCCGTGGATGTCGACGACTAGCGGCGGGCTGCCAACTTGGATCTGACTGTATCTAAGTTGTAGTTTGATGGTTCCATCTTGCCGCCATATGACTTTTCTCTAGTTTTAAGGAAGCTTATAATGCCAATAGATGTATTCCATTTTTGGGTCTTGTATGAACTGACAAATGATAATGTGATATGTTTAAGGACTTAATTATGTTAAGTCTTCATCTAGGCCTTATATTGCGTTAGATTTGTTTTTTCTGAAAGAAATACCGCTGATGAAGTTTAGATACGGGGCAGTCGGCTCTCCAAAGATCTATTTATAAGCGAATGAATCACTGAAACGATATACCAGTTGTAAGAGAATGTCAACTCGTTTGAAAAGTGCTTCTAAATGACTAACCATTTTTAGAGAAAAAGTTTTTGGGTTTCAAAAGCACTTGCAAGAAGCACTTCAAGTGTTTTTTCATAATTAACTTGCATTTTTACTAAGGATTGGTTTCAAAAATATTTTCTTTAAAAGTGTTTTTAATCATTTTAAAGCACTTCCCAGATGAGCCTGTATCTCCGATTTATGCCTATCAATTAACAAATTTGGGTTCTGCTTCTAGTAATTATGTAGACGAAAATATCTCATCTTAGCACTCACCATTATCGGCCTCAGCTCGAAGAATAGAATACAAAAATATATGTATATACTAATCAGTGAGAACATTAAAGCACACATATTGACCATCTCCTTTAAAAATGTCACATAGACACATAATGGTAACAAATGATGTATTATTTACTCCAACCGAGATGTCAAAGATGACATGGGAAAAAAAAAACTAAGCTAATATAGACAAAGTGATGTCAAATTTGAAGCTGCCTTTAAATTTGATTTTTACTATTTCCAAAGGCATTCCACTTGTCTTACCTTAAAATGCTAGTATATTTAAGTATTATTTTATTATTTTTAGACCAATAACAACCCGAATTTTATTATTTTTGTTTAAAAAAAACATAAATGAAGCAATAAATTTTGGCATACCAGATGAAAGGAAAATATTGATCTTATTCAATTCATCCGATTCGACGGTCAAAAATTAAAAAAGTGTGTGCAAAGTAAAATAGAGTGTGAATATCACACTCCTATATCAAATTGTCAAATCAGCCATCAAATTTAAATTTGATGTTTTGAATTTAAAGTCTCATTTGAAGATGCTATTGTTTATAGATATCATTTTAGAAATCAATTAGGTATGGTTTTATAATTTGTTCATGATTATTTTCGAAAATTTCCTCGTGCCAACATGCATGTTTTTTGAATTGATGAACATGTCTGTCCTCTCTGTGTCAATTCATAAAATTCTTAAATATTCATGTTTCTTGGGTCTCCCCTCAATATTGACTCTGTAAATAATAATTGAGTGACGACACAAATAAAGCTGACTTAAATAACCAAAAAGCTCCACGTCGAACTTCAACTCCTTTGAGTTGGCCGCGGTGTAAAGGCCTCTGACACAGTGACACCCCACACCATTGCGGTAGGAGGGGGCTTGCCCATCAGCCTAGCTACTTTGCCAAGAATTCTAAAACTACGGAACCAACAGGTGTCACACCGAGGGAACAACATCCGGAGCAGGTCTCTTTAAAATACAAAGAAAGTAAATTAGGTCTTTAAATTCATACGATAAATCCAAAAGATTATTGTAGTATCAATATTCATGAAACACAATGATAAAAAGAGGTTCTAAGTTCTAACCTCGCCCTAAAAACAAAATCTAACTTCACTAGGTAAACATATAAAAATGAAACGAAATAAAAGAACACCCTCGCATCCTAAACAAACTTAAAGAGTAACACTCTAGTCTTAAACATCTAAGAACCAAGGAAGTCCTTCGTTTCCGAAAACTCTCTGATTTCCACACAAGTATGCGTTACTAGATGATTGCGATTGTTGGCCGTTGCTGCATCTTCTTCAACTTTCGTTGGCATAAAATTGTAGTAAGAAGTGTTCTTCACCTTCATGTTGACCCTTGCCTTCTCTTCTTCAGCTTTGGTTGGCATAAAATTGTAGGGAATGTTGTTATTAGCCATGAGAATCGAAGATTTCTTAGTCTTTCTTTCGTTGTGGATGATCGAAGCTTTGATGGTTGAACATTAAAGTTGTGTTTCGGAATTTATAGTGATCTATGCATGCTATGTAACAGGAAATTTATACTATCTTTATTTATTTATTTATTTTGCTATCTTGATAGATTTTCAAAGACATGTAAAGAGAAGGTTGCATGGAGATATTAAACTTTTCGTTACTTTTACTTTACACTAATATCTAAAAATATAGAACCGGTGGATTGAAGAGGAAGACAGAAGTACTGGCTTACTAATATATTTTGGTGATATGTATCTTATGACGTGGATTCTATACATAAATGGCATGAATATTTGCAGTGAATGGAGCAACCTATGGCTAGTTATATCATTTATGCCTACCAATTACCAAATTTGGGTACTGATTCTGGTAACCCTATATAGGATACGATTTTATGTTAGAAAGAGCTCACATGTCGATGAACTTTTGAATTGACCACCTTATACACATCGCTCAAAGTTTTAATCATTCAGTTTGTTAATACCACGCTAACTGTATTTGGGGGACAAAATCTATCTTGTAAATTTGCAATATTTAATACAATTTCCGATTTGAATAAATATTTGCTATGATCTGCAAATGAGAACCTAAAATATATATGATAAAGATCATGAGATTATTTTCTGAAGAGAGTATAGACGAGAAGTGAACATCCTAGTTAGCATTCCAGGGCTCCTATAAGACGAGAGTTAAACTTTATGGGGAGTTTTTAAAACAGTAATTTAGGATACTGTTATTGGCACTTTAAAAATCTCATTTTATACTTCAAACTTCTATACAACAACATAGCCTAATTCTACTAAGTGAGGTTGGCTGTATGAATTCTAGAACACCATTGTGCTCAGTTTTGTGCCAAGTCTTTCATTAGCTCATTGTACTCCCTGTCTTTTCTTAAAGTCTCTTTCCACATCTTCTTAGGTCTTCCTCTACCCTTTTTGTCCTGAGCCTCTGTCTCATAATTGCAATTTTTAACCAGAGTATCTGTAGGTCTTCGTTTGACATGTCTAAACCACCTTAACCGATTTTCTCTCATCATATCTTCAATTGCGGCCACTCCTACTTTACCTTGGATATCCTCATTCTTAATTATGTCCTTTCTCGTGTGCCCACACATCCAACAAGGCATTCTTATCTCCCTACAATCATTTTTTACACGTGTTGATGCTTGATGGCTCATCATTCTGTGCCATAAAGCATTGATGGCTTATAAAAAAGTTCTTAAGCTTTAGTGACATACGACAATTGCACAATACAGTCAATGCATTCTTCCACTTCATCTATCCAACTTCTATTCTACAATGAGAACTTCATTCATTTCTCCGCTCTTTTACAAGATAGATCTCAAGATAACAAGCACATTTGCTCTTTGGTACTTCAGGATCTCCAATCCTCACCCCTATCTCATTTGGTTCCCCAACTTGCCACTAAACTTACACTCCATAGACTTTGTTTTTGACCTACTTAGGCAATCATCTTGAATATATCTCTTTAACTCATCAATTACCAATGCGAAATGCTAAGGAGTTAAAGCTGAGTCTTGGTCTAACCCTACGGTTATGAGAAAGCTTTCAAATTGTCCTTCATGAGTTCTTACTGCATTCCTTACTCCATCATACATATCTTTTATTGCTTGGATATATGCTCTCGTATTTTTATCATACATATCCTTTATTACTTGTATATATGCTCTCATATTTCTTTCTTCTCTAGAATCCTCCATAGAATTTCTCTTGGGATCCTATCATACGTTTTTTTTTCCCCAAATTTATAAAGACCATGTGCAAATCCTTTTGCAATCTATCTATCATCTATCGACCTCCGTAAGAGATAGATTGCCTCCATAGTCGAGCACTCTAGCATGAACCTGAATTGATTGCTTGAGACCCGTATCTCTTGCCTCATTCTATACTCAATTACTCTCTCCCAAAGCTTCATGGAACGACTTAATAACTTAGTACCCCAATAGTTCATGCAATTTTGTATGTCACTTTTACTCTTGTACATAGGTACCAAAGTGCCTTTTCGCCACTCATTTGGCATCTTTTTCGTTTTTAACCTATGCCATGCTATACTTGTCTCTCCAAGACCTTCCACACTCCAAACTTTCTATACTAAAAAATATATACATATACTAACGAATGCACAATAAAATTTTTAGAGTAAATAATTGCACCTATATTTTAAACTAAGAAGTGAGATATTAACTAACTCATACAATAGGTACATCATAATAACGTAAGATCAAACTCGTCATCCACAAACATAAACCTAATAAGTGTATAACGTCACCTTAAAGCCTCCATAGAATAAGTGTATAACGTCAGAATAAATTTTGTGGCAGAAGGAAATGATGACTGTAACTGTGCTCTTGCCAATAATGGAGTCTGGATTCACAAACTGCGTGTGCTTTCTGAGTGCTGCCAATCATTATTTTTAGCCTTTACCTACTTATGTTGTGCAATAACTTTAATTTAGTCCGGTCGAGAAAAAAAATAATCATGCGAAGGTGGGTTCCATCAATCTCAACACTAATCAGAAATTTCTAAGCTACTTGATACAATAAATCACTGTTCTAAGAATTCCCGTCTAACCCTGCCTAAGTGTTAGACGACTAGTTATCACTCCAATTAATTCTTAGACGTTTGAAAATTAAAAAAAGACACCTAGCAGCCTAGGTCGTAACTCTCACTTAAACAGAAAATAGATTAACTTTCATTTTGCACTTTTTTTTTTCAAAAAATTGTAAGACTTGTTAAATACTTCGATGAACATTCATTATATGGTTATTCCCTATGTTTTCAATATATTATAATACTTTATAATCTACTGTCATTCTATTCTGTAATTCATGTATCCAAATACAATTATGTATTTTTTTTGGTACAAGTAGACATTTATTATACCATATAACAAATTTAATTAAAATTAAAAAAACTGCCTAACCCCACCAAAGCCCCACCTAGACGTCTAGGCTTCTGCCGGCCACCCGACTAGTGCCTTTTAGTACCTTGCAACGAACCCCTCACACTTCTTTTAGACAAACAACGAACGCAAGTGAATGTAAGTGGCACATGAAAGGGTTACTAGTTATTAAACCTATTCAAAAATTGGGGTCCAAATTCAGCAGTTTGAATGATAAACATATCGTAACCTATAAAGCATATAGACAAGGACGGAATGATCCGCAACAGCAACAAGATACAACGACATATTTCACCTCCGTTGCAAGACAACCCTAATCAAGGGGTGTTGAGATGATTCGCAAACGCTTCTAGCACAATACATTTTCTACAGCCTCACCCTTCGTCATGGAAGCATCAAAGCCTGTTCAGATAAAACCGTCTATGGCATTCAGTCAGTGCTATAACCCCTGCTGGTGCTTGCATCCCCGATAGAAACTGTGGCAAGTGACTTGGAAGCCCACACCCTGGCGTTCATTGCTCCTTCCTGCAAATTACTCCTCTTGCAAGGCTCTTTTAGAGAATTAAACAACTGCACTGCCCGCTTTAGAAAAGCCAAAGGGTGCTCCAACAAGCTCCCCAATATCATGTCTTGAATATGCCGTCTCCATGCAGATTGAGCAAACGATAGAAGAGCAGGTAAAAAGAAGTAGAGCAATCTGAGAAGCACAAAAGCAGAAGCCAGAGCTAAATATGTTTCTTGCCGAAGCAAATTCTCTGGAGATCTAGCCCAAGAAAATGGGCAGCTTTCCTGCTCAGTGCTATCATGCTTCTCATGATTTAGTGGGTATCCAATTTTTTCCAGTGACAATTGATCCAGTGATACAGTCTTGAAGCCTGCACCAATTCACCTCGGTCAATAACTACCCCGCAGGGGAAAACAGTTTTCTATATAAGATAAATACAAGGACAGTGAGAGACTAAAGAATGGCAAATCTGATATTAAGAAAATATGATTCTGGACGGTAATGCAGAATATCAGAAAAGCGAACAAGTTGTTCTGTAGGACTAAATAGAATCAGTGGGTCACGCATAATCTAAAACAGTTTATGTAGAATAAAAATCCAGTTCTCTTTAGTACACATCACTCGATGAAAGGTTTTTGACTGCTTTTTATTCATCACACCAAATATTATAAAAGATAAGAAATAAAGTTCACAATCAAAGCCTACGATCCGAACAAAAAGACTTACCAGTAACATGCCTATAGAAAGCAATAAGAGAACCAGGAGTGCGGGCACCTTGATATCGAATACGCATAGTAGAATTCAAAATGAAAAGTGTAGGAAATCCATGAACTCCATATTTGGAGAGTATACTGCAAACAATTAATCAGTTCTGTTCAATTTCTAATGACAAATTGTTTAGAATAGACAGTCTCTACAGATATTTACAAACCTTGGCCTGATGGCTGATTCTTCAAATGCAAAATGGGGGATCGAAGGATACAAAGAAGCCAGGATGGAAAACGTTGGTTTAAACATCCTTGAAAAAGGGCACCATGACGCATAGAAGAGCACCGCCACATAATCATGTGTATTCTTGTGAACCATATTTAATGCCCTTTGTAAGGAAACCTCATCTCCCTTCAATGCAGCAAGACATAAACAAAATTAGAATAACAAATGTAAGAGATAAGAAATTTCAACTTTCAATACAACAACAACAACAAAGCCTTATCCCACTAAGTGGGGTTGGCTGTATCAATCCTAGAACGCCACTGCACTCACTTGTGCACCATGTCTACCGTTAGATCCAAGCAATAGACTACATATAAAAAAAAAGACATTTTTTGTCATCCCAGCAATAGACTAATCTAAGGAATTGTGATAAAAGCTAAATTTTCTGTCACTTATGCATTGCAGATTCATCTTCAGGACCATATATTCCAATTCTACTTTCAGAAGAAAACCACTTCCATTACCTCACCCCTAAGGAGAACTTTTAGGTTCTAAACAAAACTGCATGTGATATTTACAGCATTCACAGGAGAAACTGGTTGCAGGATTCTACTATTCAAGTAACTGCATTTGGGACAAGTATTGTTCTGGTTTATCCAAACATATAAATTCGGAAAAGGGTTCGCTATTAGAGGTCAGCAAAGCACTCAAAACACAAACATAGCGAAACTCAAAAACCTAGAATGATCCTCTTGGAAACACTCTATGAATCAAGCCATTTCGGATAGAGGCCAGCAGCTACTTTGAGCACCATTTGAAAAATCAGCACTGCCCAACTCGGTCTTTTACAAGAATAATACAAATTACTACCCTAATTGCAAGGTCAATGCACCTAACAAAAACCCGAACTTTTAATAAATACATATAAATAAATAAAAACAGCATCTCCCTAATCAGCGCCTCAAACCCATAATTTCCCAGAAATTAAAAATTAATAGCAAAACAGTAAATAGATAAGTCATTGCGTACCACGATAACACCCATGGATTCAACGGATCTGCAAGCGCCGTCGACGGGGCAATTGGAATACCGGAAGCCGAAGATTCTGTCGGCAACGGACTCCGTCGGGCAAGAGGCGGGCTCGGCGGCGCAAACTAGCCGGACCCATAAAACCAATATCACGATCCAACTTTCCCAAACCCTAATCCCCATTTAAGAATCAATGCCGCCCCAAACACCAAACAACCAAAATAAAAAACGAAAAGCTAAAAAAGGGAGCTGCTTGGCAACAGCGCGACGGCGGATGAGGAAGAAGAAGGAAGGGGCGCAGGGGAGAAAACCCGGCGCGTTTTAGCGTCGAGGGTTGTTGGTTGGGGAAGCGGATTGGATTGGATTATTAATGGTAATTTTGTGAGAAAATGGGTTGGTTTGTTTGGAAGTATCGTGAAGGGGGGGTGGGGTTTGGTGTGGGTAGTTTGGTTATGGGGTGGAGAGCAGAGGAGAAAACCGAGACGTGGAGATATCGGTGAGTTCTTTGTTTGGGTCACACTGGTGTGCGTCTCTGTATTTGCCAACTCGGTTCCCAACTGGTCTTCCTCTTCCATGCCTGACATTATGCACGGGATGAGTTCAGCCTCAGAACTAGCAAAAACGTACGAGAATCGAATATAAGACATTTGTTTGTAAAGAGTAAAAAATAATGTGTTGATAGCATATGCCTGTAAATACTATTAGAATAGTACCAACTGGTTCATGTCCTATTTTTTACTAAAGAAAAATATTTATCTCCTTTATTTATTTATTTTGCAAATAATGTTGTTTTAATTTGGCTTTTGGGAATAAAACATTCTAAAAAAATTTCTACTTTTTAATGTGATGATTATGAAATGGTGTTATAAGTCTCCTTATATATAATTTAAAACAAAAAAGTTACTGGGTGGGTTGTTTGGGTCCCTTAAATGAAGGTCGCAAGTCTGTTGTCTTCATTTTTGTATCTTAATGTCCCGTCTTTATTTGATTAACATGGGTCTATTCACTTGAGTAAAAATTTAACACTTTATAGCTCAATTCACCTACGATCCTTCCGACCTCAAGGGGAACAAAGATGGTGGCTTTATCTCTTCTTTTATTTTTAGTTTTGTATGTCAATAGATTGAACATTAATGTTGTTAATTTTTGGATTAAGTGAATGAACACATGTCAAGCAAATAAGAAGTAGACATGAAGGAGACACCAAAACAGGAACAATAGGCCAGTGACCGCTAACCCAAGTAATAAGGTGCTCAACTTGACTCGAATACCATTATTCGTGCTTAAGCTCAAAAAAACGCGTTAACGTATGCTAAGCTCATGTTGACTTAGTTTTTCAAGTTTGATGTTGACTCAGCTCATTTGTAAATCAAAACTGCTGGGAGGCTAGCTAGCTGGCTGAGCTTATTTTCTTGAATAAGCTCAAGCTTACATTTGTTTGATTTAATAAAAAATAAAAATTAATGAGTTATATAAGTTAAAATGATTGCATTCAACGTCATCAGTTGATATATCAAAGCTCAAGTTTAGCTCATTTTTCTAACAAGCCTAATATTGTTATAAATCGGCTAGTTTCATTTACCAACCGAGTTAGACCAAACCAAAGACGAACTAAACACGAGTCGAACTCAAATCATTTGAGCTGATTCTATCTGGAAGTACCTAATCTTGTTATTTGAATAGTTGATTGAAATAAGAAAAAGGGCTTATATGGGTCCCTTTCCAAGAAAAACTATCTGATAATTATTGAAAAATTATACAGGTCTTTAACTAATTCTTTAAGCAATTTAAACAAAATAGTATCTTCAACAAAAGAAAAAAAACACAAATGGTTGCTATCAAAGCACCCCACGCGGCTACATTGTTGATACCAATACCAATGTCGGTGACAGTGTAAGCTTGTTTTTATTATTTTTATCCGCTTGTAGGCTGGAGATGTTGTAAGCACTGTTTTAAAAATCTATCCTTAGCGCCGCCTAAGTTCCGTCTAGGTACTAGACGGCTGGCTACCGTCCTGATTAATATCTAGACGTTTGAAAATTAAGAAATGACATCTAGACATACTGAGGCGCCTGCCTAAACCACTTAAGCACCCCCCGTCCAAACCCGCCTAGGTTGCAACTCATCTAGACAGAAAATAGATAACTTTCATTTTACATTTTATTTTTTTCCAATAAATTGTAAGAGACTTGTTGAATACTTGAATGAACACATTATATGCTTGTTCCCCATGATTTTATTATGTTCCAATAACTCATTATATATGTCATTCTATTTTGTAGTGTATGATGAAATTATATATATATATATATATATATTAAGTATAGATAGACACTTATTTATACGAAATATAATAGATTTAATTAAATCTACCTAATCCGCCTAAGCTCTTGCCTAGACTACGCTTAGCTGCCTAGGCGCTAGGCCCTAGTCTACCACCCGACTAGTACCAAGCATCTTTTAGAACCTTGGTTACAATAGCAATTAGCAATTAAATTGTCATACCAGCTTTTGATTGAACTCGTTCATTTGGATGTGCTTTTAAATGACTAAAAAAATGAGGGGAGAGAAGGGAAGGAAAAAAAAAAAAAAAAAAAAAAAAAGGAAACTTGTATACATACTGGGCCTCGTTCATTTTTCATATTACTTTTATCATACTTTTCATATCACATTTGTACTATCTACACTTGAAAGTTTCGATAGTGAATGCTAAAACGAGACTTGTTATTAACACTCCAAAAATGTAGCTTATTGCCCAGACAGCTTACAAAGCTAAACCTTTGGCTAAGAGGAAAGACAGCAATTCACTGCTGTGAGTGTCTTCATAATATCTCTCCTCCAATCCATATCCCTCCATCGCATGAGATTTGGGGGGGGGGGGGGAACGGAAAAATAAAGTTAAAATCCAGTAAGAGCTCAACAATGAAAAGAAAAGAAAAAAATGTAAAAGAGGGTGGGAGAGATGGTGATAGCGGAAACTAGCAAACGACCTCTTGCTTAATGCAAGTGATTTCCGCAATTTTTCTCCTTCTGCATACCTCTCTTTACTTGTGTCCGTTGGTTCTCCTTTGGTTTATTCGTTCCAAATGCCTGAAAAAGGAAAGCGCGCAGAAGGAACAAAAAAAGGACAAACAGAAATCATTTCTATTGTTTAAAACCCGCCCTTAAACGTTTCCCCCAGTTCTACTACGAGAACAAAGTAGATCTCGAGCCTCTTGAGACAAAATAGTCATGTTCTCAACAGCATAAGAATTCTTATCGTCACCATCTTCGTTAACAAAATAAATGTTTTGTTTGAGAGACTAATATTTGGAGCAGAAAATGTTATCGAAGTTGTTATGCACAAGTTAGTCCAAAAAACCTAATTGGACATTCAGTTTCTTTCTCGTGCGGAGTATATGAAAAATGTCCTCCGCCGGAAAGGAAAAAGAAAAGGCCTAATTCAATCAGATTATGACACAATCATTTAGACCTAAAGAGAGGGAAAGCAAAATGTAAATGTGCTGCTGCAACCTCTGGCAAGAAATGGACATAGAGCTCCATACCAGAACCGGAAATATCAGCCTCTTGCATGGGAACATTAGATCTATCAACGAGCAAAAGTGATCTTCAAAACAGTTCCATCAAAGCCTGCATGATACATAACACAAAAGAACAATCCATAATCATTCACAACACCATTATCTTCATTAAAATGATTCATTTTTCATTGAAAAATGGAACATATTGGGGCTTAATCTGCATTGCAAACAATGCCAAAACAGACTAAAGTCCAAACCTTTGACACTCAGTATGACAACTAAAATTGGAAGAAACTTAACCCAGAAAGATCGGAAATAAGACCAAATTCGTATCCTCTCCCCCATTGAAAAAAAAAAATAAAGAAAAATAGGAAAGGGAAAGAATGAAAAATGGCCAGCACACAAGTGTACTGGACCAGGGTATATCCAACATTCATCAAGTTTGTAAAGTTAATTCTACGCACAAAATCTCCCTCAAAAAAAAAAAAAAAAAAAAAAAAATCTACGCACAAATATATTCAAGTTCGTAAAGTTAGATAAGATAATTACCTCAACCAAGAATTCTTCTTCTTGCAAGGAGGATGGATATATAACAAGAAAACCATCACTGGGAGCAACAGCACAAATGAATAACTACAAAAAATTGCCTGAGAAATTGGCCTGGCAGGTTGCACATATCAAACCGACAGAACCAGGTTGTGTCCGTTCACAAACCTCATGATGAAACTCATTTCTGCACCAGACACAGGTGTTAATCTCATACCTGCTTGCGTTATTTGGCATTGAGGGCAAAGATTCCTTTTCAAGCCAATCCGATGAACTGAAACCTTGTTCCATCTCTCCATCATATGACAACACTTTTGATTCCTTTGTACGTGAGGTTGCTTGCACTGTTGGGAAATTGTAATCAAACTGACCCAGTTTCAATCCTTCCAAACCTGACATGTTGTCACGCTTTTCATTTACACTTAAAACTCCATTTGCACCCTGTTCATTGAAGCAAAATTTGATATAAAAATATTTCTACTGAAATTACAACATATCAGATTCTTTGCAGCTTTTAGTTGTAAAGAAAAAATTGAAATAATTCAATGGAGGAAGAAGACGGACAGACTAGCAAAGGAACTCACTGTGTGTTCCAAACAAGTCAAAAATTGTGCTCTTAAGAATAAAACAAGTGAAATCGTGCAGGTAAAACAAACGTTGAAAGGTATATTGCAGTCTCAAATAAATGCGTACATCAGTCCCTAATATATATATTCTCTATATACAGCATACCTTGTCAGACAACAGACCACTGTTCGGATAGTAGCCAGATGATTGCATGAGTTCAAATGGTGTATCAACCAGTCCACTCAGCTGAACATTTTGCTCATCACTTCTCCACATAAATTCAGCCATGACATCCCCAGAAGGTTGGGAATGATTTAGAGGCTCATTGTTCCTGGACTTTTCTGCATTCTCAGTGTTAGGCTGCTCCCACATTATGCTGCCATAAACCCTGTTTATATTATGTTCTATCCCAGGGATTTGTTCTTCACCATTTGGATGTATTGAACCATCAACAGAACCTCTACTAAGTTTATCATCCGATACTGAGCTACTGAAAATGCCAGTTAATTTATTTCCAGTGGAAAATGTTTGACTATTCCCTGAATAAACAAGGGAAGGTCCTCCAGAACTCCTTTCATGCAGAGTGTTTGTCATAGAATTGGCAACTGATCCAGCGTAACTGCTGCTAAAAGAAAGCATTACCTCGTTATTCCAAGACCTTTTAGAATCCTCATGTTTTGATTCTTCCATTGAGCTTGAGTTTGTGCTATTCACATTCCGTGCATAGCCAGAGGGGTAAATCATACCAGTTTCAGAAGAACCCCTGCCCGGTTTAACAAATGGAACAGACTCATTGCCTTGAAAACTCTTTTCCTGCCAGAGTTCCTCCACTATGCAACTAGGATTCTTTGCATTACTTAATGCAATACAACTTTGTCCATCCAGACCTGGACCGCTTGAACAGCTCCCAGTACTTCTAACATGCTCATTGATTTCCACTGCACCCACATTCGGCATGGCATGGTCGCTGCTTAAACTGATTGCCTTGTCGTCATTCCCAGATAGATCAATATTATCAAACTTGGGTCCATAAGATGTGTAGAGTGACTCACTATTGTAATCATCCCTGACATCACATGTTTTCTCAACAGTAGTACTACATAAACCTCTTTCAGAGCCTCTTTTCTGTAGAGACTGTATGATAGTTGAAGGAAGAAGCGAGCAGGCTTCAGAAGTACTTTGCTGCACGACATTAGTACAAACATTCTGGGGTCCAATGCAACTCTCACTAATACCAGATATTGACCTGCCATTCCCACGATCATCCACATCATCAAATTTTGTATTTTCTTCTGTGCTAGTTAATTGGTTGTTATCAATATTCTCAGACCTCCGTTCTTTTTGTGTACCATTTAAAGCAGTATCAGTGTCTACATTGGGCAAATCAACTGAACTCACAGAAGCCTTAAAACCATCATTTATTCCATCACGAAAGCAGTCCAAAATATTTGTTTCAGCAGAGCTGAGACCAGGACCAGTAGGCTCATCCACCAACTTATCATTTGTCATAATAACTGCACTACCCTGCTCAGAAAATCCCAAATCCTTACCAATTTTATTATTCTTCAAAGCTTGATCCTCACAAGACAATGAATTAGATTCACTATTGTTCGATCCAAAACAATTTGTGATATCATTGTTCACTTTACCACAAGGAAAACCAGCACTCGATTCATATTTGGCTACTGCATCAGAAGATGCTTCCCTGTCTATTTGACCTGACTCATAAATCTTCAAAGATGTCTGCAGAATACCAGTCTTTATCTGGTCAACCTTCTTAGTCATGCCCATTTCTTCTCCTGCTTGAAATTCCTGTAAATTTTCTGTAAGAAAGAAGTTTTCTTGTTTCTCATGACCAGGTGATACTGAAGTAACAGGCATTAGCGAGTGGCTAGCAAGCTCATTAACCTTGCTCTCATCTTCAAAGGTAAGATTTGTATCCTGTTGCATACCCTGAATAAATAGCATGAATGAAGAAAACAAAATGATAGAAAAGAACAAAAAAATGCAGAGTGACTTACATCTCCAGAAACCATTTTATTAGAAAGCTGAATACTGCCACCAGTATGACCAGGAATTGACTTGTTTCCAACTCCAAAATAAGAGATCAAGTACGAATTAACTTCCTTGCACGACACAAACTGCTGCCCATTAGGGCTGAATAATACCAAATTAGGGAAACTAGTATAAGAGCCAGGCAACCATCTAACTTAAAAATGCAAGATCAAAAATTAATAGTAGCTATCCCAAAATAGTTGATATTTTTTGCTATGAATTAATGAAACAATATACAACACATCTCCTGAGAAAAACAAATAGAAAATTTGAATAACCTCCCACTCCCTTCTCCCAAAAAAATGACAAATAAAAAATGGGTATCAAATGCACCAACTTCCGGAAATCAGTTTACTCTTTGAAGTTATGTCGAAGGATTAAAATTTCACTTATATTTCCAATATATCCCAAAATTTCGAAAAAAATCATGTAACCGACAATCAAAAGGGGCGTCAAGGTATATATCATATATGTACCGACTTTCCACATAAATTCAGTGGTTTTGGTTGGATATCCATTCTTCGGTTGAATATCTCCCAAATTTCAGAGGTTTTGATGGAAATATCAGTTGAATTTTGGTGGAATTTCAAAACCCAAATTGCCCAGAGGCAAGGAAGCGGAGATGGTGGAGCAAGTTGAGGGCAGTCCAGAGGAGGATGAAGAAGAAACAAAAATTAAAAATTAAAACCCTGAACGAAACGAAGTCGTTTTGTTTTAAAAGGTAGAACAATTGCCAATGTCAAAATGGAAATGTATTGAAAATTGAATCATTATGGCTGGAATTAATTTCCAATGGTTGTTCAATCATTAAATTAGTTTATATGTTAAGTGAACATATTATTAGTTTGTTTTGGAGTTTGTAGAGGCTCACATATAATTTAAATTTTTATAGCTACTCTTTTTTCATTTTATTTTTTTTACCACTGTTTCTATCTGCATCGATATACATTTCCATATATCTCTCTATTTGGGCTACAAAATCGAAACTTAAATCCTTGGTTGCGTGCACCCTAAAATTAGCAAGAAAAAGCAAAGATAAACCTATAAGAGATGAACATTATTTCTTTGCAATGTTAATGCAAATGAATTCTAACGAAATAACATTTAAATTTCATAAACTTAAACTCAAGCATTTTCATTGACAATGAGAGAACTACCTTATGTATCGTTTACAGAAGAGTCGAACTAGCCCTCCATTCCTCTTGAGAGATAGCAAAATCTTCCAATGCATCGGCAACACGTCACCAAGCTCACCCGCAGGCACAATCTTCCTCTTCTTCCTAGCGCTCGACCACTGCCCGTCCAACCCTCCCAGAAACCCTAACAACTGCGCCTGGGTCTCCATCCCCTCCGTCCTCCTTCTCAACTCCTCCCCAAACAAACCGTCCGCATTCTCTACCACAGCCAAGTCCACAATAACTCCATTTCCGTTCACCATCACCATCTCAGCCTCCTCCACCTTCACTTTCCCTTCCTTGACCGTCACTTTCTTCTCACGCTTAGCCACCGAAACCACTCTGTTCTCATCTTTCCGCGGCCGGCCTCGCTTCCGGCTGCCCTCACTGCTCTGAACAACAATCCCGGGCGGCGTATTGTCACCGCCACGCATCTTCATCGAAACATCAGCGTTGACGCTCGGGTAAGATATAATGGCATTGTGATCCTTACGCGGGCGGCCTCTCTTCCTCTTCGTACTGATATCGATGGAGAGTCCAGCCGGGAAGTTTTCCACGAAGGGGCCGGGCGTGGCGTCATATTGGACGAGGCGGACGGGGACAGGGACGAGCACGCCGTCGTTTTCATTTGGGGCTTTTTCTGAGGGAAAAAGCTGTTTCAAGAGAGCGATAATCTGGAGGGTTTCGGAGTCTTGGGGGTGGTAATGGGGAATCGTTTTCTGCGATTTGGGGTTTGGGATTGGGAATTGGGAGTTACGAGGAGCGAGGCGGAGGCGGGAGTAGGTCTGCTTGCGGCTGCCGGCGGATTCATTGAAGACGGAACGGTCGATTTTGGGGATCAATACGTCATCGTCGAAGCGGCGGGTGGGGTGGGATTGGGAGGAGGAGGAGGAGGAGATGAGGGAGAGAGAGTAGAGGTCTGATTGAGAGAGGAGGCCGAGGTCAATGAGAGGGAGGGATTCAAGGTAGAGGTGGTTAGGGCTAGGGCTGTGGTGGTCGACGGCGGGCGGGAAGGCCATGGCATTGAACTGTGAGAGGAAGAAAGAGAGATTTGGGCGGAGAAGAAAAAACGAAAAGTAGACGAGGGTGGATGTTAAACGACGAGGCGTTTCGGTATCCGACTTCTGATTGACTGGCGCGCAGTATTGTTTGACTTCTATGGGAACCCGACTTCGTACCGACACGTGTGTCAGTTGCGTTAGTGTACGCATCAACTTTCCATGAAACGTGCTCACGGTCACCAATAAATAGCGAGTTTTAACGAAAAATTCATTCATTCTAATAAGTAAAAATTATATTTTTATATTAAAAAATTAATTATGGTACTATTTAATTTATCTTTTATTTTGTCCTTATTATTAAAATTCAAAGTTTTTAAATTTTTTTCATTAGTTTTCCTTAATAAATAATGTTAGTAAGATTAAAATTTTAAATTAAATGACGTGTTACTAATAAGAAACTGACACTTAATTAATGATTTTTTTCGTTTGCAAATTTGGTAAAAAATTGTTCTCTCTAACATTGTCCACAAGTAAAACGTTCTGATGCCATAATATATTGTCACATCGAAAAAATTACTTACACAATATATCTATTGGTAGACTAAGGTTCTACATGTTAGTTTACTCGTTTCATATAAATTATTCTCGTATGATAGTTAAGTACTGGCCTGATCAGGTTTTTGAGTATTCGGTCCAAGTTTATGAAACATTTGCTATATTTAGCATTAAGTTTATTCAGTTCGAGCATTGGTTTTCAAACTCAAACCACAAACCGAGCCAAGAGCATCTTTAACCGACATTTTAAATGAGCTTTTAGTTAAAATCTTTCTTGAATAGTCGATGGTTGTCCAATACTCCCGTTTCAAAAATAAAATTATTACTGTTTGATAAAAATAAAACTCCAAGTATGATCTCTATTCGCTGGATATAATAGGGATTTCTCTAAGAATGCGTTTGTTGCATCAGACTAACTCGGATTAGACTAGCTTCAAGGACTAAGCTGGATTGGCTTGACTTGGACTAAGCAGTACTAGAATTGTGAATTGTTTGGTGTAGTGCCGGATTAGCCAAGACTAAAATTTTATTTTTTATATTTTTTATATTTAATTATGAAAACTTCCACCTTCTTGTCTAATTTTTTTTTTTTAAGATATAAAAGATGCTTTATTGAAAATATTATTCATCTCATAAACAAAATGGGGAAAGGATTTTGCTTTACATGAAAGCCTACGTATATTTTTCACCATCAGCTATCAATACATTTGCAAGTTACAACTACTTGTGCTTAAACTTGAGTTCCTTCACATATTCTTCAGTGCCCCTCAACTACTTATGCAGATCTAGAGTGCTTCAATTGCAACTGCACAGGCTACGGGGTGTCCAGAATATGTAAACCCATGAGAAAAAGAACCAAGCTTGCTGCTGTGAGAGTGCATGACATCTGAAACTTCTGGGTTCACAAGAAGGCTGATTGGCATATATTCAGAAGAGCCTTTGCCACAGATACAAGGTCTGGTTTAATGTTGTATTTGTTACACCTATACATGTAGCCAAGCCTTTTAAATGCACAGATTACATCATCATAAATAGAATGCAACAATTGTCTCTGGTCCCTCAGTGTGCAACACAAATGGAACTGGAAGATCAAACTTTTGTGGGCAGTCAGTGTGCAATACGAAGGGAACCATAAAGAGATGCTCATGTAGACTTCTAGATACAAATGCCAACTAGAACACATGAGCAACGAACGATAATTTGGTAGATAATATTTTGAGTGTCATCTATGAACACTAAAGTTAAACTAATGCCACCAAACTCAAATTATATCGATACTAAAATTTAAATCAATTCTAAGATTCTAAAATACTAAAACAGCAATTGGCTAATTCAAATGTGGAACTAGTTACCTATTTGAGGAGAGTCTCACCGTCATTGACGATCTTGGAGGTCCATACTTATTTTGCAGCACCATATTCCTTCCTTTTGAACCCAATGTAACTCCAACCAGCTCTGCGACCATGTCAACCCATAAAATTAACCCACTTCACATCTACCTACATAATTGGAATTTAAATCAATTCTAAGATTCTAAAAATACATACAAAGCATCAATTCTAAGAATATACACAAGCAATTGTACCTCTCATAGAGCTACAGAACAATGTCCCTGCAAAATTCAGTGATTCATGAGATGCAGGTGATACTAAATGCAATCAAATACATGCAAGACTAACAAGTTCAACCAATTTGCTTAATCCAAAATCTCTAAACACAAAATACCCAATCGATTGAGCAAACACCATGAATAACAACAAAAAACACAGGGATAATAATTTCCACTGAAAGATTCTTCACTTCCTCATGCTTTGAATTGACGAAAACATGGAAACCCACCAAGAATCCCTTCAGACTTCCAATGCCAAAACCAATGATTCCAAAACAATTGAAACTCCCTTTTTTTTCTCTGCTGCTTCAAGAATCTGCAGATAAAAAAAAAGAACAGTAATTGAATTTTAATATCCAATAAGATTTATCCAAATTAAAATAAATTTATCAAACCCCATTAACGAGATTTATCCAAATTAACATAAATTCATCAAACCCTATTAACACAAACCTAATTAACAGGCTGTTGGGGTTGGAGAATCAGTCGGTAAGGGGGGCCTTTGGCGGCGAACGCAGTGCTTATCTGCCCACTCGAGGAGGCCTTTTGTGGCGAACGCGGCTGGAAACTGACAAAGGAGCAGAAGAAGAGAGGGCGATGGTGTGACGAGGAAGAAGACGAAACGGCGAATGTGCAAAGGAGAAGGGAGAGGGCGAGACTAGCGGTCTGCTCATTCTGGGGGTTCTTCACTAAGACCTTTTAACGAAGGTTTTAGTCGACGCGAGTCCCAGTTAATTCCATTAAACGCTGTCCTGGTTGCTATCAAACATGGGACTATGAGGCTATCTCCATCTGAGGACAAGTCAGAGAGTTCGTTTTAGCTATATGGTCTTTCAAAATATTAATATTAGCCATATGGTCTTTCAAAATATTAATAGTTTAATAAACAGTACAAGACCATATTTGTCTCCATCTCTAACCGAGTGCCCATGGACCATAGGGCTCATTGTAGCCCTGTCACAAAAAATCATTTCTAACCGAGGGCCAAAGTGTCATAGAGCCAAACATAATTTATTATTTAAATTTAAAAACTACAAAAACCTAAATTTAAAAACAACAACTTATATTTAAAAACTACAACTTAAATTTAAAAACGACAAATTAAATTTAAAAAACTACAAATTAAATTTAAAAACAACATTAACTTAAATTTAAAAATTACAACAACTTAAATTTATCTCTAATCTATAAATTATGATTGGAGTAACACTTTTTTTATAGAGATTTTAAAATAACTTTTGGTAATTTTTAGCTAAAATTTAGCTATAAAATAAAAGCATGATTGGAGATGCTCTAATTCTCTAATATTTGACTAGAGCGATAGTGTTGGTGGGTTATATATTTATTCTTAGGGGAGAATCAATAGGAATCAAACTCACACCAAGGTACATATTTCAATTTTATTCCAATATTTATTACGTTTTATCAAATCATTCTCTTTAGTGTTCTTCTTAGCGGGAAAAAAAAAATCTCTAAAAGGGTTAAGGGAGTTGTATTCAATTAGGAGTTTAAAAGATTTTAAAAGAGTTAACAAATTTAAGGGTAGAGTGATGTTATTTCCACCCCCAATGTCTTATATTCTCACCCACATTTTAATGAATTTTTTAATTACATATTTGTCCGTTTGCAAAAAGACTGATAAGGACATTAATTATCTTGTTTTGCTTAATTTTTTTTTTTTTAAAAAGGTTGGGCGTGGAAGATGATTTGTCTACCTCAAACCCTAACTCATATTTTCATCTCCTTTCATTCAGAGAAAGTACAAAAATATCAATGACTTAGAAGATGACTTTTTCATTAAAGAGAAAGAAGATGACGCTTTTACGGAAGAGGTAGAAGATTATGTTTCCATTGAAAAGGTAGAAGAATAATTTGTGTGTAGGTCATTTGAATTTGTCCATCGTATTTTTTAATTTGTCATTGTCGAATTCTTTTGAATTTGGATACCTCTGTCGTTTCCATTTGAATTTGCAGACCTTAGTGGTTTTCATTTACATATTATTTGTTTATATTTTTGTTGACCCTAAAAACTACAAAGCCTACGTGGTGCATAGGCCGAGTAACTAATGAGCTAACTACGTCCTTCGGTTGATGGGGGTGTGCCAACTCATAAGTCGAGGAGTAAAATTTGTGATGTTGTGTTGAACACACTACTGACTTCTTGATCTTGCAACTGCGACCGAGAAAGGAACACGTCTCAGCCTTCGGGTTCTCGAGCCTGAAGACAAGGCTGCTAGTTCTGCGAAGTTCACAAATTGTCGGCGTCTGGTTTGGTCACGGTGATTATATTCGTAAGAGTATAACCATGTCGAATTGGCTCCAAACTATACGGACACATGTACTCAAAAGAGATGTATGTCTTGATGGTAAATGTGGTTAAGCCGTCAGAATGTCGAACTCTGAAACTTACTTATGAGTATCCAATCATAAAATCACTCGGCGTTCAATGTGCCAAATGTAGTAACTTGTAACACCTTACTTCGCCGAGAAGGCTAATAAGATGACCTCTGCCAATAAGGATTCGGAAACCCTTCTCGACTAAGACTTACATAGGTAACCAGTTGGCCTCGACGCAATGCTGTTTATCCAAACTGAATGTGCTTCTCGATTGGCTGATTCTACGGCAACGGTGTTGTTTATCCAAACTAAAGATGTTCGCCGGTTGCCTTCACATTGATGTTTATCCAAATTGAAGGTGTGTTGCCGGAAAAAGAAAATAAAAAATCTCAAGATGTTTAAGAGGTTTGCGCAGAGCAATTTGTGTGTTGAATTGGAGGCCCTTAAATGTTGTATGCAACTTTGTATTTATAGTGGTTGTCTTTTGCTTGGCATAGCTTGATAGCTTTGTAGAGTC